ACACAAAAGTAGTTCGACGTAGATTCTTTTCATATTTCTTTTAAATATTGCTGCAACATTGTTAAAATGATGTTGCAAATTTATATTTTAACAATGTTTCTGAAGCATTGCATTGCAAATGCAATATTGCAACTTTGATGCAATATTGCTACAAACTTCTGTGCTGTATGGGAAAGGTCCATTCTCCAAAAATGAGCCTACGGCGTTAATAGCATTTCGTCATTTGTGCATCCGTAATAAGTTTTACGAAAACGAGCATACATATCAAACAGGATCTGTTTTTACCAAAGTCTAGATTTAAATCGCCGTACGGATAAAACTTCGAGTTTAAATAAAGTTTCACATTGGTTAATTTACATTCATCGAATAAAGAAGCATCTTTAGACATAGCGTTCTTTCGACCAGTTTGCAAGGCAAAGATACCCAGTGAACAATAAGACGTCTTAAAGACTAAAAGACGTCTTTAACCCTTTCAAGCATACATTTTTCCTTACCTACGATTGACTTAAAAATTGGTACTCTGGAGTTTTCGAGGTTGCTGATTACGAATCACAGGTCAAAATTTAGAAATTCCCTTTTTGAATTAAAAAACCTGAATTAAAAAAATGATGCAAATTTTTTATGAAAATGTATATCTGGGGGTTTTCGGAGTTGCTGATTACGAATCCGTAATCAGATTCCCGAAATTCAACATGGCAGATCTAATATGGCGGACCCGAATTTAAAAAACGATGCAAAGTTTATGAAAATGTATATCTAGGGGTTCTCGGGGTCGCTGATTACGAATCCGCAATCAGATTCCCGAAATTCAAGATGGCGGACCCGAATTTGAAAAACAATGCAAATTTTTGAAAATGTATATCTGGGGGCTCTCGGGGTCGCTGATTACGAATCCGTAATCAAATTCCCGAAATTTAAGATGGCAGATTCAATATGGCGATTATAATCCGAAAAACAGTGCTGATTGAGTGTAAAATCGCTGAACCCTCAGATATACGTTTTCATAAAATTTGCATCATTTTTCGAATTCGGGTCTGCCATATTGGATTCGCCATCTTGGATTTTAGAAATCTGGCCACGGATTCGTAATCAGCGACTCCGAAAATCCTCCAGATGTACATTTTCATGAAATTTGCATTGTTTTTTCGAATTCGGGTCCGCCATATTGAATCCGCCATTTTGAATTTTAGAAATCTGGCCTCGGATTCGTAATCAGCGACCTTAAAAACCCTTGAGGGAAGATCTTTGCGTGGAAACTCTGAGAACTTTCGGAAATA